TTAGCCTCTGCCTGCAAACACCCACTCGCTTCCTCCTCGGGGGATTGGGCTAATAGTAAACACAGCTAGAGGAGGACATCGTAGTGGCAGCCACCACGTCTCACCTCTACCCTCCTCTGCTCTTGCCAAAGCCGCCAGGACCTCCTGTTGCCAAATCCAACAGATACTTGACTCTGTCTATTCTGCTCTGAGTCTCCCACCCACTGGCTTGTTCTCTCCTGGGCAGGGACATATCATCCTCCCTGGTTCTCCTCCGGTCTCTCTGCTACTTCTGTCATCCACTCATTCAGTCAGTCAACAAACACGTTCTGAGCACCTACTGTGTGCTGGGGACTATGTGAGGGCTACGAATTTAGAGGTGACCAAAACAGACCAAGTCCCTGCTTTCTGGAACTTACCTTCAAGAAAACAAACAAGTTAACAAATCATGGATGGATTACAGCAAGTGCTAGAAAGTAAGTAAACAACGGAGTGCTGTCACAGCAAGAACAGAGGACTGACTCAGACGGGCTGGGTGGGCAGAGGCGGCATTTCAACCGTGATCTAAAGCCTGAGAAGGAGCCGAAAGTGGAGAGAGACAGAGGCTCCTGGAGGTTCCTCTGGGCACCTCTTCTTCCCTCTCTGATGCTGGGAAAAGTCATTACTTCTTATGGCTTCCATTCCTGGCCCTCCACCTATCCCACGGCCTCCTGATCATCCATCCAGTCTGACCAACTGGGCTCAAGCCTGCTCACTGGGCTATTCCCTCTGCTCCCATCCTCTGTGCCTCTCCCCTGAACTCACTGTGCCCCTCCTCAACTCAAGGAAGGACACTGCCATCTCTCCTGGACTCCCTCTCCCTCCCACTTGCATCCAATCAGTTACTAAGCCCCCTAAGAACCTCTGGAAAATAGCCACCTCTCTGTCCCCTTTACCAAGACCCTCACCAGTGCTCCTCCTTTCTATCCTGGGTCAGAGGGGGGCCACCTAACTGGCTGCTCTGCCCGGGCCCTGTTGCTAGGCCCTACAGTACAGTGCCCTTGCCTCTCCCCTTAAAGTCCTCTTCAGATCACAAGCTCCAGGAGGCACTTCGGGGCCGTGGTCCTGTCAGACTCCCCTGCCCCAACTCAGTGCCACAAGGCCCACTCACAGTCACCATACCTCCAGAGCTGAACACCCTGCCACACACACCTACCACACAGCCTTTGAATCCCAGCCTTGAGATCAGGAACACCCTACCCCTGCCCTGAACTTGTTAAATGGATGCAACACTTACTTGGGATTTTTTTTTAAATATAATACATGGAGCTCCAAGGAAGAAAAAAAATGGATCCATGATCTCCGCCCCTACACACTACATAATCCCTGGTGACAAATTTTTTTAAAGGTGTACAAAATGAAAAGTGAATATTTCCCCTGACTCAAGGACTACCCTGCCCAGTCCCTCTTCTGAAAAGGAAACCACAGTTCGTTTTTAGTGAAACCTTACAGAGGAAAAAAGTTTGTAAAAAACCCACAATATATAGTTGTTTATATATATCCTACTTTTGCATATTATGTACACAATACTATCTATGCCTTGCCTTTCTCACAATAAAAATAGCAAGATTGGGTTTTTTTCTGATTACATAAATATGTGCTCCTTGTTTTTTTTAAAAAAAGGCTAACAGTGTGGAGAAGAAAGTAAAAATCACCAGAGGGCCCACCACACTGGGATAAATGACCAGGGACAGGTTGGTCACCACCATTCCCCACCTTGCTACAAGGTGTTCACAAAGTCCCAGTGCACCTCAGCTAGAAGCTATCAGCAAGCTCCCCTCCATTCTCAGCACGAATGTTAATTCTTTCCTCTGTTCTTCTGTGTTGACAGCTGATGACACTGTTGCTAACAGCTATTTTTAAGTCTTCAACTAGTTATCAGGCAGCTGAGACATTTTCTCTTTCACAAGGCATCAAAGTAAGTCTGCACCTCCAGGAGGCCAATCTGTGAACACAGGGGAAATTAAATTTGTATGGAGAGTGCAGGGAAGTGTGCAAATAACGTCTCACCAAGTGTGTGGCCATCTGTATGCAAATGCTACTATAGCTATCCTTGAATAGCTATCATTGAATCACTGCCCCTCCTCCATCTGTTTTTCTTCTTCTGAACCACCTAATGTCCTAATTTCAGGTATCCTAGATTGTCCTCCGAGTTTTTCTTTTTTCCCTCATGGTTTTTTATCACTTTTGTTCTATTTCAAGATATTTCTTCCATTTGATCATGTAGGCCACTGATCCTGATCACAACAAAAATCATACTGTTCTTCAATTCATCTACTGAATCATTTTGTTTTAAGTAAGCCTCAGGCTGATCTTGGAGAGGCCAGGAGATGGAACTACAGGTCAGATCAGGTTGCAGGAAGTGGCACTTGTAAGACCAGTGGGATTTTAACAAAAAGCCTTGTAAGAGATGTGAGGGAAGGGCATTCACGGTAAAACTACAGGTGCAGAGGCACAGAGGTATGAGCAGGTGCTCTGTGATGTCTCTCCCAGCTGTAATATTCTCTCAATGGTGGTCCCTCTCTTCAGTTTAGAAAGGATATTAACATTCATTAGTGGAAACAAATGGGCACAGGCATGTTACAGGTTAAGCCTCACATGGTCAACAGAGAGTACCAGAAACACACGTCACTCTAGAGCTGCTCTACAGTCCAGAGAGAGATAAGCCATCTTGTGATGTTCAGGAGAACTCTCCCTCCTCCAGCAATGCCTCAGGACACAGGAGGTATCTGAGCCCCCAGCTAGCTTTCCTGGAATTTATCAGGCGGAGCTGTACTACAAGCTGCTGCATTCACCCAGGGCCCTGCTTACCTCCGTGCCCCTTGCTCACTGTGGGGCTGGGCTGAGAAAGCCCCAGAAGAAAGGCTGCTGAGACAGTCTCAAAACTCACCTCCCCATTACCCAGCAATTCCAGGGCTGAGGAGAAAGGAGCCTTAGCATCCAGGAGGAAGAGGGGCCAGTCTCAAGGCCCTGGCTGAGCTTGCCCACCTCCTGCCTGTTTCCAAGGCCTACAAAGCTCTTGTCATCGAGGACCCTCCCCCTTAGCTGATTGCTCAAAACAAAGATGCTCCTGAGATAGTTCTTTTCTTCTGCAGTCATAGGAAAACCAGAAAGTGATTTTCCTGTTTTCCCACCTGGAAGTGCCAAGCTTTGGTATCCTGAGGTCAGGCTCTCTGCCCCAGGGAGGGAGTGTAAACAGCACTTAGTATTTCAAGACCAAAACTTTTACCCGGAAAGATTCGGTTCTTAAAAATAATGAAAGGCAGTTGCTCCAGAAGGAAACTGTGTAGATGCTAATGTTTGGAGTTGAACTGAGGGAAGACCCACCCTTCTACCACCCCACACCCCTGCCAGCTGGTGGATTCCTTGTAACCAGGAGGGGAGTCCTGTAGGCAGGAACTGTGGGCAGATTCCTACAGCTGCCCCTATGCAGCCCTTGGAGCTGGTAGAACTCAGTAGCTGCACAGGACTTGGAGCCTCAAGAGCAGCCGAGGGTCTCCAGGCTGAGCCAGGTGTCACTGCAAGGATCCCTGAGCTCAGCCAAAGAAGGAGGATCAGACAGTGAAGAACCTGTGCTGGAATAGGGGAAATGGCTAGTTTGGATTGAATACCTAAAAACTGACTGATGGTGTACTTTTCAGCCAGCTTGATGAGTGAAGGCTGGAAACAAATACATCTTTATTTCAATAAACAACTATGATATTTCCTGGTCTAGGAATGGTGTGGAGTAAATTCATACCATTACATCCAGCCAACGCCTCACCACAATCAAGGCCCCGCATCCTGGGTGGACATCCAAGGCTCGGTCTCCCCTCCTTATCTCTCTCCCCTGCTTCTCTCCACGGAAAGAGGCTGGATCGTCTCACTGGGCATCTGGGTTCTAGTTCCAGCTCCTGACCTGTGCTGTCCTGTCACCCAGAACGCCTTCCCACCTGTCAGATCCAAATCCCATCAAACACATACCCTCACCAATACTTGAAGCAAGTCTTCCCTCCCTCAGCACATAAGGATGGAGTTCAGAATTTTGACCTGGAACTGGGTCCAGTGTGTTACACAGCAGGAGGGAAAGCCTCCTCTTCTAGGCCCCTCCCTCACCTCATACACTCCCTAAACTGATCCAAAGGGAGAAAAGCTTGTGGGCAGATCACCCAGGGAACAGTTAGAACTAAACCTGCTCATGCAAGGGGCTTACCACGGGTTAGACTCGACAGTCTGGGCGGTAGGAGCCCAGCTCCGCCAGTAACTCCCTGTGCACTTTTGCAAGTCCCTTCCCAGCCTAGCATCCTCAGGCACAAATCAGTGACTTTGAACTGTAGCTCTCCTTGGCTATCACTCTATGATTGCAAAGTCCTAAACCCGAACATCCTATTGGTTCTCTCACCTGCGTTTTAGTGTCCTAATAATCAGTAATCTTGAGATTCTTTGGCACGGGGCAAAGCTCCTCTTTGACCCAGTGCGGCGATAGCCTTCCTCGACCTGCCCTGTCCCTTTCGTTTCCCTTCCTCCCCTAGGCCCCACCTGGCTCAGAAAGAGTACGGAATACATTAGGGCGAGAGGGGCTCGGGAAAGTTAACAAGCCTGCGCTGCCCACACACCTGCGCTGCCCACCACCCGCCCCTCCGCGCGCCCAGTCGACGGAAAGTGCTGCTTCCACCCCTTGCCAGCCCGGACCCCGACTACGACCCCCCACTGTCACCTGAAGCCGGAAGCGCTGCGCCGCCTGGTCCATGGTCTTCAGGGTCGCTTGTTGCCCTGTCGCACCCGGGCCGCCGCGCCCCGCGCCGGCCGGCAAGTGGACCAGCGCAGGGCCAAGGCCGCCGCCACGAAACAGCAGGCCAGGGCAGCCCCAGAGACGCCGGAGAGCGCAGCCCACAGTTCGTCCAGCACCATGGTCTCCCGCCGCCCGCCGCCGCCGCCCGCCGCCGAGGGCAACAGATGAGGAATCAGCACGCGCGGACTCTGCCGCAAAACCCGGCCTGGATCAGCCGGGGATCCAGCGCCCAACTGCGCCGGAGGGGAGGGAGGAGGGCGGTCCTGGGGAGAGCGCCGTTGCCTGGCAGCCGGCCCGAGGCTGGCGGCTCATGACGGTCAAGGTCAATCGCAGCGGCTCGGATGGGGCAGCTCCCTAAATCCTCACACACTGGGCCTGGCGAAGCAGGAGGATCCGGCAGAGCACCCACTTCTCGTGGGCGCCCTCGGAAGCTCGAGCCTAGCAGCGGTTAGGCGCCGCGGTCTGTTCCAGCCTCCGCCCCAGCACCCTAGAGCTCCGACTCCGGAAGATGCGGCCCAGCTAGAGCTCCCTGAATGAAAGGCTGGTCAAGAGGACCGGGAGCAGCGACGGACAGATTGGGCCCGCGGACCTGATTAATCCCCGCAAATAGTTTAGCAGGATCTTTCCTGGAGAACCTTGCGTTGGGCGGTGCACAGCAGGGCGCCCACCACTCCCCTGAGCAAGGCTTCCGGAGCACAGGAAGTTCTTCTCCGGGAGCGCACCTGATGCCCCCTCCCCTTTCCTCACCCCAGGAACCATGTGCCTCTTGCCCTGGGCTCTTCTACATGACCAAACCCCTCATCACTTGTCCTTTTGCTCAGCCACTCCCCCGGACTGGCCTTCCTAGTGTCACCCTTTTCCAGTCCTGGGCCCTCCTGGATTTCACACCCATGAAGTAGTAAGAACTGCTTCTGTCTGGGGACCTGACACCCTTCGTTAGGGAGGGTGGGGGGATTATATATACACACACACAATACTTCTCCCATCTAGGCCTCTCTCACAGGATTTTATATGCTTTATCTCATTTGTCCTCCCAACAGACCTATGAGGAAAGCATTTTCATTATTGTCATATACAGATGAGGCAACTGAGGACAAAAGAGGTTAAATTAATTCTATGGGTCACACAGGTGGCTGAATGGGTATTTAAACTCAGGTCTAATCCTAAGCCATTGCTCTTAACTGTCAAGAATTACTACCACCACTGCTCTTGGAAATGAGGCTCTGCGGGATGGGATGCAGCAAAGTTTGGCAGCTGGAAAGCACTGTCTGCCAAAACACTGCTGTCCATCCAGTTCCATCTTTATCTCTCTGAATCTGGGCCTTTTCTTCTAAAAGGGGAAATGCCTACCTCACAAGATTAATAGGAGTCTGTGAGGTTCTTGCTGTGAGTTGGGGACACTGAAGGAGGTACCTGATCTCAAATCTAGCCTGTGGAGTTCAAGGTCTGGTTGAGAAGGAAAAACATGCATGGATCAAGAAACAAAAGACATGCTTTCGTGGAAATGCAGAGATCATGCAGCATGAATCAAAAGAGCCTTGGATGCTGGACCCTTGGGGAAGCCTGTCTGTAACCCATCCTTGCTGTGTGACTGGGCCCCAGTTTCCTTACCTGTAAAGTGAGGATTTATAGTACCTCCCAATTCTCTAGTACTATTGTAAGAATCAAACGAGTTAATACATGAAATACAGCCAAAACAGGGCCTAGCCTATAGTAAGCAGTCCATGCATGTTAATCATCATATGATTATTGTTATTTATTATCAGAATAGAGACCTACAGAGAGGGGTTTTCTGGTCTGAGAAGCCCAAGCTTGGGAACCAGAACACCTGAGTTGAAATCCTAACTTTGCCACTTACTCTGTAACCTTCAGTAAGTCACCGCAATCTCGTGCCTCGGTTTCCTTATCTGCAAAACAGGGGTTAATAGTAGTGACAGCTTCATAGAATTGTTAAAATGAAATGAGTTAATTCAAAGGAAGAGCTTAGAACAGCACTTGGCCCACTGTAAGGGCTCAATAAATGTTAACTCATTATTTTAAGCAGACATGCGATGCAATCCAGAGATGTGATGCAAGGTTTTGGGAAGGCAATATAGAGGAGGATTGGGAGAGGAAAGCTGGAGGCAGAGACTGGAATGGAAGAGCAAGTGAATGTGAGGATCCAGTGCGGCTGGGCTTCCAGGTCTCCACCTGTGTTACCAGAAAAGCATCTGTGAATAAGTCACCACCACACGATTCCAGGAGCCAGGACAGCATGTACCTGCACTCTGGTGGGGCATGTTAAGGGAGGGTTACTTTCACCTGCAATCACTCAAGCAGGCCCTGATTTCCTGAGCAGGATCAGGGTCCTCCCCCACTAGTTGGCGACCTTGAGCAAGCCATCCTTATGTGTCCTCGGGGGTCAAGTGGGAAGACAGGTAAATACCTTGCCAAGTTCAGTTGGAGGTGGGGTGGAGGCTAAAAGGATGGGGAGGAAAGCTTGCAGAAGGGAAGGAAGCTGCTCAGATTCCGAAGAGTTTGAAGTCTGTTCTGGGGAGAACAGAGAGAGTGCTCCTGTTATCAGTAACTTCTTGTTTCATTTCATTTCTGTGAGCATTTCTTCAGCACGGAAGCGGAGGGCAGGAGCGGGGCACAGCCTTGCTTCAAGGAACTCAGTCCCACAGATGAGGCAGGACACCACACTCAGAAGCACTATCTATGGGGAACTTTATAATTTTTAAAGCACTAACAGGTCTTTGATCTCAGTTTTCTGAGCCCCCTACCACCTCAGAGGCCCCCAACTACCCTTACACTCTCCTCAAGGTTAGAGAGTTTTGTTTGTTTTTATTTGGCATTGCATTTAATCCAAAAATTCATTTGTGGAGAATTCACATCTACGTAATTGTCTTCTCATCCATGAAATAACACATCTCTCCATTTGTGTAAGTCATTGTTATATGGGTTAGGGGAGAGTTTGTCACCCATGCAAGGTAAGTTGATTACATAAATGATCCCAAAACTTCACCTCTTTCTATATCTTTGCTCTTTGCAAAATAACGTCGCAGCTCCTCCTTTCAGATGGTAGAGTATTTCCTCACCCCTGTAAATCTGGGCTAACCTTTTGACTTGTTTTAATGAACAGAACACAGTGCAATGAATGTTGTGCTAGTTCTGAGCCTAAGCTGCAAGAAAATTGTCTTCACTCGCTCCTGAAACCCTGACACTGCCATGAGAAGTCCATGCTTGCCTTCCAGAGGATAAGGCCATGAGGAGTAGAACCTGCTCAGCCCAGCTGTCCCTGTTCAGGCCCTTACACAGGTGAGAGGCCAGCCAAGATGAACAGAGCCACCTGTCTGTAGATACCTGAGTAAGCCTAGCCACGCCCAGCTCAGCAGAATCACCAGTTGATCAACAGACTCAGAGAATAACAAACCACTTGCTTGAATCACTAATTTTTGGGTTGGTTTGTTACAAAGCAATAGCTAACTGACATACCTCCCAATTCCCATTGCCCAGATGAATAACTGAGGCCCACAGGCAACCAGGGACTTGCTCAATACTCCGTAGTGAGTGGGGGCCCACTGTGAGTCAAACCTGGATCACTGAGACTCACTGCTACCTCTGCAATAGGGACACAGGCATCTAGACTTTAGAACTGTTAAAAGTTCCTAGTTAGTTGGAAACACACCAACCACATCTCACCCTAAATCTGTTTTCCTCAACTTGTTTTAACCCATGCTCTCCCTTGGATATATATGAAATGCTATGCTTTCTCCCTCCTAAATCTATCTCAAACTACAGGTAAGTTTCTTCACCATTGTGCCCCTGAGTCTCATCTGTAAAATAGGGATACTGTACTGTCTCACTGGTTATTGAGAATTAAATGAGTTAAGTTTAGCACAGTGCCTGACATACAGCAAGGACTATATAAAATAAAATAGTAGAATAAAATAATAGACTAAAAATGAGCCATAGCAATAGCAATTTTATTAGGGAAACGTTCTTATTTTGCTCCTGAGAGCTACATATTTTTCACTTGTCTCCAGTGACATCTCAGTATGAGTATTAAGTCAGCTTGTATGCTAAAAGCTCTTGTATCCAAGATGGTGTGGAAGATAACATCTCATGGGTGGCAAGCCAGTTTTTGAAAATGACATAGAGAAAAGCACATGTGCCTTCTTGAAAAGCCGTGGCAGAGCATCATTACATATTTACCTCATATCTTACACAGACTATACTCTTGGCAGGTTGCGTATAAATCAAATTCTAACATAAATCTATGTTATTGAAAGAACTCATCTGGGGAATCACTCTGCAAAGTGAAGATGACTTTTGTAAAGCAAATCAGTATCCCTCTGAGGGACATTCAAAATTTTGACTAGAAGTGGACAGAGTTTCTTTGTGTCTGAAACAAAGCTGCCTGCCCAGGTCTCTAAGGGGACCCCGGTCCTTCCCTCTATGGCTGCCTGCTACTGAACCTTGATAAAACCAAAGAGGCCTCTTGCCCTTGACTCTCTAGGGCTGGAAGCTTTGCAATTCCTGGCTCTACCATGACGAATCCCTTTGAAACCAGAAGGTGTGGGGCTGTTGTCCTCAGTGGCTGACAGTCTGGATATTCACCTACCAAGCTCTCTGGTTTCTGTTCAAGGTGGCAACAATCTGCTTACAACTTCCTTCACAAACAGGGGCATCTGAGACAGAGCCCACGGTTCTAGCAGATGCCCATCTGGTTCTGAGAGTTGGGTGAACATACGGATAGGGTTAAAACTCAGTACCAATGACTCTGGCAGGCTGTCAAAATGAGCAGAGGTATGAAGGAATGTCCTACCTAATCTCTCAGCCTTCCTCAAACACTTCAGCCCTGTTTTATTCTGTACCTTTGAAACACATTTTCCCTTGGCCTCTAATGCCTGATGTTCCTCTATAATCTTTCTTTAACTACCTCAACCCTGCAACAGACACTGCCCGGCAAACTTCTAGTCATCATTCAAGCCCCAATTCAGAGGCCTCAGGTTCCAGATGGCAGATGAAGCACATGCATTTACCTTCTCCATTAAAATAACAGAAAACACATTTTTAAAAGAAAAACAGGAGTTACTGGTAAACAAGCAAACAAAAAGTAAAATTCTTAGAAGACAGAATGCAGGTACTATCAAATTGAAGGAAAAGGAGAAGCTGTCTAAGACACAAAGAGAGCCAGGGTCTTCCTAAAGAAAAATCTAGGGAAGGTCCAAGAAGGAATGGGACATGAGGACAGTCTTGGGAATATATAGAGTACTGATTGAAATTGCTGCAATCTGGTAGCCGTTCCCTGACCACTTCATCAAATAAAGTAACAGTCCAGGTTCAAGTATGAAGAAATACTCTTTAAATGAAGTGCCCCAGTCTGGGAAGGGCAACCACTGAGGGCATCAGGGCATGAGTGGAACAGGACAAAGAGAACTGAGAGACTCTGGTCCCCTAGAACAGACAAGGAGAGGGAAACAGAAAGGGACAGTGCTGTTGTAGGAGTCCCAGCCTACCTGCCCACTTCTTGGTCACACTCCCTCTTCAGACATCAGTCCTTTGAGTCAGGGGAAAAGCCTCCTGAGAGGCAGCCCAACCCAATTTAGGAGGAAGGCACAGCACCAGCCACATTTCCTGGTTAATAGTCTGTTCATTCACCCATTCATTCCCTCAGGGGCAGAGGGTTGAGTTCATCATACTCCTCACTTCACAGGATATTATCATCATTGATCCATCCAAGCCCCTCTCATTTTATCTATTTATTCTTTTTATCTTAGCTCCCCAATCTTATCCTCCCTCCACCCAGAAACAACTCTTATAATTTGTTTAATACCTATCTTTGTTTGCATATGATCTTTTAAAATATGTTTTGCATGCATACATTTTACAGCTTTATTGACATATAATTAGTGTGCAGTAGGCTACATGTATTTGAAGTATACATTTTCATGAGTTTTTTACATATGTATACACCTGTAAAACCATCACCATCAAGATATCCATCATCTCCAAAAGTTTCCTCATGGTCCTGTGTAATCCAGCCCTCCCTAGGCAATCACTGATCTACTGTCTGTCACTATAGATTGGTTTGCATCTGATATTTTCTATTCTATTCTCTTCCATTAAAAATAAGGAGCTTGTCCATAGCTGATGTATCAGTCAAAATAGACCAAGTTACACTTCAGTAACAACACAAACCCTCAGTGGCTTAACACAGCAGTTATTTTTCACTTTCATCACATGCCTAATGCAGGTCCACAGGGGCTCTGCCCGACAAGGTCACTTGGGCACTCAGGCTGATAGTTTCCATCTCAACAAATATTTCCATCATCACTGTGGTGGGTATGACATGGCAAATCTGATGTTCACTCTCAAAGATTCCATCCAGAAATCTGGAAGAAAGACACCACTTGCACTAATATTTCATAAAGCTAGTCACATGGCCATGCCCAACTGCAGAAGGAGTAGAAAAGGCAACTCTTTCAAGGAAGAGCCCAGGAGAAGTAACTAGCTATCTCTGATAAGTCCTAATGCCTACAATGCCGACAAAATTGACTCCATGACCAATAATGAATCATGGTTGTGAACCAGAAACACTAAAGGTTTCTTCTGTTGATCTGCAGTCTGGGTCACTATCACTTCCTTCTACTGACCCTGAGGACAGGGAAAACATATCTGTGCTTCATGCCTCAGAACAGTCCCATTTAGAGACGGCATCTCTCCTCCCCAAGTCTTCCCCTCTCCTGGCTTAATGCTCCTGGTCTTCCCCCAGTTCTTCTTCCCAGGATGGAGCTTTCAGTTTTTCCTCTCCATCCTGGTCACCCTCCTGGGAACACCTGAGTCGGCCAGTGTGCCTCCTTGTGTCACCTCAAACTTTGGTCTGAGCAGCAGGAAGTTCAGCAGCTCCCTTTCCTCAGAGAGGGGAGGCCTGAGGGCTGAGGAAGCTTAAGGACCCAACTGACTTTCAGAAGCATTTTCTATTGAGCCAGTTATTTAACCTCCTCATTCAGCAAATACTATTGATAATCATATTCCCCGTGGGAGGCCCATGGAAATCTGATCATGTCATTTTCCGGCTTAAAACTCCAGCAATGGCTTCCAATTACTCGGGATAAAGTAGCCACTCCTTCAGAGCCTGATGGCCCTAGTGCAGTTGGCCTCTGCCTGTCCTCTAACCTCGTGTTTCACAAGCATCCCCTTCTCTCCATGTTGCAGCATACTAGATGTCTTTCAGGTCCCAGACATACTCTTTCCTGCCTCAGGAGCTTCAGTCACATGACTTGTTCTCTCTGCTGGAGGACACCCCTCACACACACAACATCCTCCTCTGCCTTATTAATCTAAGTCCTCCTCATCTTCAGGATAGGTTAGGTCCCCCAGGTATATGCACTCTACACTTTTCTCAGTACTTTGCTCACTTGTAATTTGGTTGTTAATTCATTTGTAATTACCTATCTATCTTTTTTTAATGTTTTTTTTCTTTTTTCTTTATAGGGGGGAGGTAATTCGGTTTATTTATTTCTACTTGGAGGAGGTACTGGGGATTGAACCCAGGACCTCGTGCATGCTAATTTACCTGTCTATCTTGCCCACTAGATTGTACATCCCTTGAGAACAAAGACCTTGTCTGTTGTTCACCTCTCTTTCTAGTATCTAGGATCGGGTCTAGCACATGAGATACTCAATCTGTACCGACCACCTAATTATATACCATCCATATTAGCTCTGGGAGTTTAGAGATGCAAAGATAATACTAGCTTCCTGCTCCCCAAGTTCTCAGTTTGGGGATGGGGTGAGAAGAGAAAGCACATAAGGGAAGTGTTATATTCATAATATATACAGAGAGCTTGGGAAGCAGAAAAAAGGGAACTCAGTCTGCTTTAGAGGAATCAGAGGTTTCCTGGAGGGGTTAGAAATTTGGGCTATCAAAAACAGAGAGAAAAAGGGCACT